TGGGCGGCGGAGGGGACCCAGAGGCCGAGGAGGGAGGGGGGGAGTGAGGCCTCCCGGGGTCTGTGGGCCTGGAGCCTCGTGGAAGTCTGGACACTCGCGAAAGGAGGGCCCTGGTGTTTGGGCAGTGCCCTCCGCCTCCCTCAGGGTCCGTCTTCGACACCTACTCCCCAAGGGGTGACCCCCAGGACCCAGACTCATCCCCAGACCCACCCATAAGCATCCAGGGCCGGATACTCACAAACAAAGAGCTCACAATCGAGGCGGACCCCCTGATGTCCACACCCCAGCCTGCCCCCTGCCCCCGCCCCCCGCCGTCAGCGGCCCCTCCGCACCTGGGCACCCACCTGGGTTCTACCTGCGTCCGACCCCAGCTCCTCAGGCTGTGCCTCTCCCTGGGTATGACTGGCCCCTGCCCCGCCCCCGCTCGGTGCCCCAGCAGGTGGAGCAGTGGGTGATGTCACGCTGCCTCCAGTTCCGCATTTTTCTCCTGGACTGCCTGTGCCACAGGCCTAGCCTGGTGGGATCCCAAGCCAGCCCTGCACCTCACCCCGGGGCTGTTTACGCTGGGGTGGTAGGGAGGCAGGGTGCCCAGGCAGGGTGCCCAGATGGTGCCGGGGTGCAGCCCCCGCCAGCCAGGGTCAGGCCCAGAAGCCAGAGTAGGGCCTCCCCTGGACATGGCCATCTGGGGTCATGCTGTCCAGTCCTTGGCCACTGCTCCCAGGCACCCATACTTGGCACCAACAGGGTGCCAGGCAGGGGAACCAGCACAGGGCAGAGCAGTGAACTGTCAACCCAGCCCCAGCCCTTCTGGGGCAGGAGGGGGACAGAAGTTGTTTACATAAACTCAGCACGAGGAGGGAACGGGGGACAGGGTGCTGGGCAGTTAACTCAGAAAGGGCACAGGGCTACTCTCAGGCTACCCGACCGCGTGTGCAAAGGCCCTGGGCGGGAAGGGGACTGAGAGGGGAGCCGGGCCTGGGCACTGGGAGGGAGAAGCAGCGGATCTCACCGAATGAATCTTAGAAAGACTTGCCCTCTCTCCCATCCCCCAATGCCTTGGATGCAGGTACAGCGCCAAGGGTGTGGCCCCATCAGGATGGCCAGGGCCTCTGGTGTCTGAGTCCTTGGGGACGCTGCTGGGGGGGGCAAAGAGTGTGGCACAGTGGGGATAAGGCCAGCCTGGGAAGTTCAGGGGGTCACCAGGGTGGTCAAGAGGGGAACTGGGCCCAGTCGGTGTGGCTCAGTGGTTGACTGTCTACCTATGAACCAGGAGATCACGGTTCAATTCCCGGTCAGGGCACATGCCCAGGTTGCGGGCCCGATCCCCAGGGTGGGGTGTGCAGGAGGCAGCCGATCGATGATTCTCTCATTGATGTTTCTATCTCTCTCTTCCTCTCCCTCTCTTTGATACCAATAACAACATAATTTTTAAAAAGGGGGGAAGGGGAGCTGGGCAGTGCAGGCTGAGCCTCCCCCAACCTGTTCCAAGGAGTCCTGCCTGCTTCATTGGGACCGTGGAGTCTTGGGGGATGGCACTGGCCCAGTGCAGAGACCTCTGCCCCCATTTCCACACCAGGGTTGAACTGTTTTGGGTACATATCCCTCCCTTCGGGCCTCTGGGACGTCAGCTCTGGAGCCAGGAACAGGGCGGCCCTTCCTGGAATCCTGGCTGGGGCGGGAGGAACCCTGGTGTCTGGTGTGCGGTGGCTATGCCAGCAGGTGTCCACCCCCTCTCCCACGGTGTCCTCTGGCCCACACAGGGCCCTTCTCCTCAGGGTCTGAGGGTAGCCTTGTGAGCTCCGCCCTGGACCCTGGGCCCACTTCTCTGCTGGGCCTCCTACCCCAGCCTGGGACAGGGGCCCCACCCCACATGCAACTTGCCCCTCACAGCACATGCCGCTAGGACCTCTCCAGTGGTCCCACTTCTCTTGGCCCCGTGTCCCACCCACCAGGAACTTGGCTTCTACATCCTCCCATAAAGCCCTAGGCCAGTGGTTCTCAATGTGGGGCACACGCCCCATGGGGGGGCAATTTGATTTTTTAAAAAGGGGGGCAATTCGAGAATGAGATATTGTTTTTTGCATTTCTTATGGTTCTAGGGGCCTCATGTACAGTATATAAATATATGTTGTGACACATTTACGCATTTCAGTTCTCTATTATGTTTTGAACTTTGCTATTTTTTTGTATCACTACGTTATTTTTTTAAAATAAATTTTTATTGTTCAGATTAGTTGTTCCCCCTTTTTCTCCCCATAGCTCCCCTCCACCCAGCTCCCACCCCACCCTCTGCCCTTACCCCCACACTGTCCTCATCCATAGGTGTATGCTTTTTGTTGCCGGGTCAAAGGTCATACACATGGAAAATGTAGCTATTTCCATCCACGACGTGTCCCTGTGTTCGGAAAGGTCTCTCACGACTTGTTCACGCTCTACTCAGAGAGGGTACGGAGACACATAACGGCTTTTTAAAATAAACATGTTATTTTTTAACAATTTCTTAGTGATTTCTTCCCCAGGACTTCCACTGTCCTTTCATTCTTTTTTCTTTCATGGATGCCATGTTCTTTGGAAGCTTGTTTAGACCAAGTTCATGGCCTTTAGACTCCCTCCACGTGAATAGTTCAGTTTTTGAATAAGAATTATGTCACGGAGGGTATCAGGATTTTAGATGCTTAGGTGGGGTGTGCCCAGAAGCCGGGGACCACCGCCCGAGGCCCTGCTCCTGGCCTGCCTTCCCTCACCCCCTTGCTCACTCCTGCCCCGGAGCCGCAGCAGGTCTGGGCTCCCTGCCTGAGGCCTTGTTCTGCTCATTACTTTTCCCATAGAACTGGCCCACAGGGGAAGGCTCTTCACACCCGAGGTGCACACCCCAGCAGCTGCTGACCCAGGGCCTCAGGAGGGGGAAGCAGTGTCTACTGAGGGACCATGGGTAGGCCCACCCGACTGAGCACATGGCCCAGGTGAGCTATGTACCCACAAGCACTTCACATTCGCCCAGCAGAGCGGGTGGTGGACTGGATCCCCTACCCTCAGAAACCCAGGGACCACACAGGCCGCTCGCGTAATACACATGCGTCTTGGGGGAACTGTTGGCCTCTGTCCACCTCAGAGCAATGGAGACCAACCACTGTTGCTTTTAGAAAGTTCATTTATTGATTTGAGAGAGAAACGTGGATACACGTTCCGCGCGTTTATGTGTTCACTGGTGATTCTTGCACCACTGTTGCTTTTAGAAAGTTCCTTTATTGATTTGAGAAACGTGGATGCACGTTCCGCGCGTTTATGTGTTCACTGGTGATTCTTGTGTGCCCTGCCAGGAGACCAAACCCGAGACCTTGGTGTGGCGGGATGATGCTCTAACCAACTGAGCTGCCCGGCCAGGGCTGCCCACCGTGGCTTTTCAAGTTTCCTGGGTGTCCCCTGAAGGCGTCACTCCGAGTCCTCAGGAGCCAGGACCACTCAAGGAGGCTGGTGTCCCCTCCTGAGCCTGTCAAGGCTTGGCAACATCCAAGACCCACAGGAAGTGTCCCCGCACCAGCACCAGCTCTTGGGCCGCAGCTCCTCCCCCCTGGGCGTCCCACAGCTGCCTTGCACGAGAGGAGAGTGCAGAGGCCAGGCTCCAACAAACAGTCACAGGCCCCTCAAGGTGTATGTAAAAAGGATTTTATTTGCAGGGGAACGAGACTCTAATCAAACAAGCCAAATCCCATGTCGTCATCCGACTCCTCGGATTCCTCCTTCTTCTCATCTTTCTTCTCCTCAGCTGTGGGGAAAAGACCACAGTGAGCGAGGCAAGCAGTGCAGGCCAGGCTCCCAGATACTCCAGGGCACCCACAGCGCCAGCTGCCTGAGCCTCCACTTACCTGCAGCTGGGGCAGAACCAGCAGCAGGAGCTGCAGACCCGGGGGCGGCGGAGACGGCCACAGCCCCTCCGGCGGGAACGCTGGCCAGCTTGCCAATACCTAGGAACCAGAGAAGGGAGTGAGAGCAGAACAGCCGCTCAGCCTAAAGGCTACTTCAGAGGGAAGACAGCCACCAAGCGCCGGTGTTAACAGGCTGCCCCGCTCTCCCAGAAAGAGGCTCCGCCACGCCCCGGCCCCAAAACTTCCCATCCGGGAACTGGGCTTCCAGGAATTGGCCCACAAGAAGCTAGGCCAGAGCTCCCTACCCTGGGGTCAAGTTGGACAAACATGTTTATGGCCAGGCAGGGACCTAGTCTGCTGCCCCAGTGTCCAGATACTCGTTCCCAGCAGTGAGCTCAGATGAGGCTTTTGGCTGAGCTGGCTCTTGTCCTGGCCAGTCACATGTCCAGGGACAGGAATGGCTGCCCCAGCAGCTCAATTTCCAAACAAGTCCCATCACCTCCACCCTGACGCCACCAGAAAACAATCCACCCAGCAAAAGGGAGCAGGGGCCTGTGGTCAACCCTGACACCAACCCCCTTACAGAGGGCACGTGGAGAGACTTGTTTACCAGGCCCAGGTCTCCAAACACTGGGGCAGGGCAGCCAGGCCCAGGGAGAGCACAGGCGCCCCCTAGCGTCCTCTCTCAGAGTGTCTAGAAGTGCCCCTGGCATGAGCCCAGGGAAGCCGTGCTCACTCCTCGGGGCAGGCTTCTAGGTTGCTCTGGTCCACAAGCGAAACCTGAAGGCCACAGGCGACCAACAGGAATTAGGATGGACCACGGAAACCAAAGCCCCCGCACAAGCTCACCCTGGGCGATGACATCTTCGATGTTCTTCCCGTTCAGCTCACTGATCACCTGGAGTGGAAAACCATGACCAGGAGTTACCAGGCATCCGACCTGCACGCCCCGCTTCTGGAGCCAAGGCCGGGTGGCCTCGGGAGCAGGACAGGAGGAAATGCCAGGCCCCGCTAGTTACCACGCACACGTGGGTCCTCCGAAGCGAGACACAATGGGAACTTACACATCTGTATAAGTTACTGCTCAGACACAGATGCAAAATATCTTATCTCCGAACCGAGACCCGCTGCAAGTGGGAACTTATACATCTCTATAAGTTACTGCTCAGACACAGATGCAAAATATCTTAATTTATACCCAATACATGTCAAAATAACACCTTAATTAATTTGGGCGAAAAAGAATGGCTCTTAAATACCTTCCCCTTTACATTTCTTAGAACATAGCAGTTACTGAAGAATTTTAAGTTACGCGAGACTTGCATGGTGCTTCTACTAAACCACGCTGGCCTTTTGTTTCCTTGGGGCTGTATCAAGGCCTCCAAGCCACACTTTCCCCAAAAAGCACTCGGATCGGGGAGGAGAGGGACCCCTCTGTGCAGAGGATCCGTCGGCCGGGGCCCGGCGGGCGGCTACCTTGTTGAGCCGGTCGTCGTCCGCCTCGATGCCCACACTGTCCAGGATCTTCTTGATGTCCTTGGCGCTGGGGGAGGAATTGCCCCCGAGGGCGGCCAGCAGGTAGGAGGCAACGTAGCGCATCCTGAGCGGCGGAGAGAGCCGTGGCGTTACCGTGAGGCCTCCCGCCCCCACCCCGGCCC